TATTTTTTTACAACGGGTAATATTTCGTTATAAATATTTTATTTTTTAATAAAGTTTTTCTTATTATTATTTTGATTTTTTTTTTGAGGAGGAGGTGTAAGGGGAAAGGAGGCAGTAGAGGATAGTATGAATTATAACCCATTAGTATTGTTATTATTATTATTATTATTACGACGATTGCAATCGTCAATCAATTTTTGTCGTTTAAAAAACGTCATAAATGTAAATTTAAAAAAAAAACATTTGCCGTTTTAATTAATTAATTTATTTTTTTTTTCGAGAGAAAGCAGACGACAGTATCGATAATGTTTTCGCGTATCAATCTCGTCCTCGTCGTCTCGAATTAAATTTCAAAACGATTTATCGAGAAAAAAAAGAAAAAAATTTATTTTATTTATTTAAATCGAGTTTTTTTTTTTTTAAACAAATTCAAAAAATAAATCTCGAAATACTTTATTTTGTTGTTGTTGTTGTTGTTGTAATATCGAAATTCGATAAATCTTTTCTTTTTTTTTCTTTTCTTTTATTATTTTATATATAATATGTATATATATTTACATAGATACTATTTCGTTTGTTTGTTTGTTTGTTTTTGTTGTACGAGTAAATAATTTTAATTATAACTTTTTACTCACAAATAAAAAAATGGTGTCTGTTGTTGCTGTTGTTCGAAGTTTACCATCATGGCGTTATAAAAAAAAATTACTCGTCGATGTATCGCTTTAAAAAAAACATTCTTATCAGATTTTTATAACGTAACTGAAAATGTTTTTGTTTTTTCTGGAATATTTTGGAAGTTTCACGCGGGAAACGTTTTTAAATTTTCCAAAAATTCGCTCCTTTTTTTTTTTGAAAATGTTTGTGGTGGTGCGGTGGCTTACTACAAACGCTTTCATGAAAATTGAAATTTTCATTTCCGGCCATTTTAATTTTTTCTACTTATTGCGGTGGATTTTTTTTTTTTAAATTGTCGAACGCTTGCCTTAATTCACGTTAAACACGTTATCATTATTATTATTATTATTATTATTATTATTATTTTAAAGTCGGAAAACGTTTGGAGGGAATTTTTTTATTTCGTTTAAAAAGAAAATTTTTTATGCAAAAATAAATAAATGAAAATAATAATAAAATAAGAAGAATAAGAAGAGGAAAAGACGGAAAAGCAGAAGAAATAGGAGAAAAAAAAGCAGAAGAAAAAAATAAAAGCGTAGGGCATATAGCGTGTAGAATATTATAGAGTTAAAAAAAGAAAAAATAAATTTCTGAAGAGATCACGTTTTTTTTTTTCTTCTGCTTTATTCTTTCGATATATAAAATAGATTTTTATTCTTATTCTTCTTATTATTATTTTTCTTTTTCTTTTGTTTCATTTTTCTTTTCTTTTTATTCTCGTAGTAGTATCGTTATTATTATTATTATCATTATTATTTTCCTTATCTGAACAAAAACAAAAATTTTCTTTTTTTACTATGATTAGATAGTAATAAATTCTTTACGATTTCGACATTGTTTAAACAAAAACATCTTCAATATAACGGTTAAAAAAATTGCCGACGGAAATATAAATTATACTTTTCTTTCTTTTTTTGTTCCCCTTTTTATTTCACTTTCTCTCACTCTTTTTCTCTTTCTCTCTCTCTCTTCTTATTATTATCAACTGGAAAATTTAACGAAGAGAAAAACGAAAAAATTTACGTGAGAACAACAAGAAATTAACTTTAAAAATTTTTTTTTTTTTTTTTTTTTTTACGATCTAAATAAATAAATAAATTTCTTCTTCTTCTTCTTCTGCTTCTTTCTTTTCTTCTTCTTCTTCTTTTAATATTTAAATTATTCGAGATTCGATTAACGATTATCGATTATCGATATGATTAATATTATATCGATTAAAAATCTCTTCGTTTTTTTTTTTTTTTTTTTTTTTTTTAAATTATACCCATAAAATTTTTAGGTAATTTTCGATTACGTACATTATTATTATTATTATTATTTTTCAATAAATTTCTGTCACGGTTTTGTTACTTTAATAACTTCTTAATAATAATAATAATAATAATAATAATAATAATAATAATAATAATAATAATAATTACTGAAGTAAAATAATTTTTTAAAAGCTTTGAGTCAATGACAAGAAGATGAAAGAAACACACACACATTATAAATACATTTTATTTTTATTTTTTTAAAATAAATTTACACGTAGAAAGAAGTTGATGATGATGATGATGATGAAAGTGGAGGAGAAAGTCAAAGAGAGAGAGAGATAGAGGGAGGAGGGAAAGGGGTAAAAAGAGACGGAGAAAGGGATAAGAATAGAGAAAAAGAGTGAGTGAGTGAGGGATAGGGAAAGAGGAACAGAGTGACACAGAAACGGAGAGGGAGAGAGGGAGGGATAGGGATAGGGAAAGAGAGAGAAAGAAGAAGAACATTAAATTGTAATTTTATGCAAAACTCATATAAAAAAGAAAGAAAGAAAATGAAAAGAATATACACATATATATATATATATATATAGAAAAATGGTAGCAGATTTAAACAAAGCCAACTTCGTACATATACATACGTATTCAAAGAGGTGGAATCATTTATTTAACTTTTATCTTTTTACTTTTTTTTTATGTGTGTGAATACAACAAACAACAAACAACAAAAAAAAAAGAAAGAAAGAAAGAGAAAAAAAAATATAAGGTTGAATTTACGCGTTGTAGTAGTAATAGTTGTTGTTGTTGTAATCATCGAACCATTTAAAAAAAAGATATGATTTAATTTAATTTTTTTTTTTTTAAATGGTGGATGGAGGGGATATTATCGTCTTGGTGGTGATGGTGGTGGGAGTGATAGTGGTTGTTATACGTAAGGCGAAGAATAAAAAGAAAAAAAAATGAGTGGAAAACCCACTTCATCTTGAGTAATTTGGATTCATTCCAAAACATTATTGTTGACGGTTTACTGGAATTTTCTTTTTTTTTTTTTACCTCATTTTTAAACGCTTATTACGTTTTTTTTTCCTCCATTTTTTTTTTTCTTAAAAGGGAAATTTAATTTCGATTTACCTTTTTTTTTTTACGTCATTTAAAAAAAAAAATTTTACTCTCGTTTCCGGGAAGAAAAATAAAAAAAAAAAATTTTTTTGAATTTTCGTCGATTGTAATTTAAAGAGTTTGAGCGGAAAATTTATTAATTAAATATCAGATTTTTAGCAGTCGAAAAATTTTATTTATTCTAACGATTATTATTATTTAAATTCGTTTGAATGTGTGTAAAATAAAAATGGTAAAATTTTTTTTTTTTTTAAAGTTTTTAAAACTTTTTTTTTTATTTTATTTTCTACTTCAACTTTTTTTTTTTCTTTCCCTCGGGATCCTCAAAGTAAAGTTTTTTTTTTTTTTTAACTTTTAAGGTGTCTAGAGGTTAGAATGAAACCAATATTGATTGATTTTCCCTAGTAGTTATTCTAAAATGATTTTCCTTTTGGTTAAAAAAAAATTTTTTTTTTCTTTTTTCTCCGACTAAATCCTAATTCGAATGAAAAAAAAAAACGCTGAAAAAAAAAAGAAATTGAAAAGTGAAATTCCGGGGAGCTTTAGGAAGAAAATTGGAACGAGTGAGAATAAGAAGAAAAAAAAAAAAGAAAAAAAAGTTGATGAAAAGAAAACCGTAAAAAAAAAAAAAAACAGAAAAAAAACGAATTTTTTCTTTTTTTTTTTTTTATTATTAAAAAGAAAAAGAAAAAAAAATTTGTAAGATTTCCAAAAAAAAAAATAAAAAAAAAAATAAAATCATGCGGAAAAATAAGTTGAAACGTTTTATTTATGAACCTTTCGTGTTTTTCTTATTTGAAAACTTTTCATTTTCATTTTCTTTCCTCTACCCCCCCCCCACCAGAATCCCTTCCTTTTCCTTTCCTTTTTTTTCCTTTTCATTCGGATCGGATATTAAATAAAAGCAGTTTTTATTACGGTAAAAAAAATTTAATTCAAAAATCAAAACCTTACTCTTTTTTCCCCTTCCCCCTTCCCCCTTTCCCCCCACGAATAATAATAATAATATTTATTATTATTTAAAAAATACCTTTAAGTTTTTTTTTTGAAATTTAATGAATCACCTCTGGAAAGTAAAAAAAAAAAAAAATTAATTAAAAAAAATATAAGAAAAACTACTCGTAATGATAATAATAATAATCATTATTATTATCATCGTATTAAAAATATTTTAATTATGAAAGTACTCGTGCTATTTAATTTTTTTTAATTTTTTTTTTTTTATTCGTTCGTACAAAAAAAAAAAATTTTTTTTCTTTTGTTGCGAAACATTTATTATTATTATTATCATTATTATTTTAAACTTATATTATTTCCTCTTTTGACCTTTTGCTGCGTATATTATTATTCATCTTTTATTATTATTATAATTAATTAATTTTTTTTAAAAATTACTTTGTTATACTTATTGCCTTTTTTTTAATAATTCGAGGGGTAAACGTGACATTTTTTTTTTTAAAGAATGATGACGTAATTGAAAAATTTTCAGGTGTCTTGGATACGTCACAGAGACATACACATATTAACGGTTGGTGTTTACACGTATACGAGCGATCAAAGATTCATGGCGACGCATCACAAGGACAACGACGAATGGACGTTACAAATAAAATTTGCACAAAAACGTGACGCCGGAGTTTACGAATGTCAGATCAGCACTCAACCGGTCAGATCGTATTTTGTTAATTTAAACGTCGTTGGTGAGTACCGTTCGTTATTTGCGATTCAAAGACGTATTAAGGAAAAAAAATTTTTAATTTAATTTTATTAATACAACTCGCTACAATCAATTTCAATGATTAACGATAATAATATAACATGGCATTAGGAAGAAAAAAAAGGTTTTTTTAATCGTAGTTAATTTTCGTTTTTATCCGAGGGTAAAAAGAGAGAGAAAGAGAGAGAGAGAGAGAGTGGGAAAACTTTTTCTTTTTTAAATGATTTTATTTTCCAGATAAAATACCTGAAACATTTGAAAAAGGTAATCGCGTTATAAATCAAGGAGGACAATGGTTTAATGACGACATTGATAACGATATTTACCATCTCATGGTTCAAGATAGGCATTACAATTATCAAGGTCATTTACCTTTTGGAAAATCTTTTTTTTTCTTTTTTTTATCAACGACTAACTTTTTTTTTTTTTTAAAAAAATATTTAACATAAAAAATAATTTTTTGCACTAATTAATTAATTAAAAAATAAAAAATCATCGAATATCGATGATAAGAATTTTACTTCCGCCGTTAAAAACGACGTTTCCGGTTGCAAAAAAAAAAAAAAAACGAAAATTAAACGGGTAATTTAACGGTTTAAGAAAAGCAATTAAGTTTTCAAAATAAAAACGTTTAAATGATTTTTCTCGTTAAAAATGTTTTTTTTTTTTTTTTAACGAAAATTCGAGAGAGAGAGAGAGAGTGAGAGAATGAGTGAGAGGGAAAGAGAAAAATGAAAATTTAAAAAAAAAATACATTTAATGAAGGGGCCATTATTTAAATTGAAAGGTTTAACGGTTTTTAGATTAAACCTCGAAAGGTCAAAAAAAAAAAATAATAGGAGTTGCTTCTTTTCTTTTTTCCTTTTTTAAATTTTTACTTGGTAGATTTAAAAATTCTTGCTTACAATGGAAAAAAGGAAAGGAAAGGAAAGCAAAGGAAAGTAAAGGAAAATCCATTGGGAAAATTATTATTGTTAAGTCAAGCGTGAATATATATATATGCTTATTTAACAATCGATACTAACTAATATGAAATATTATTTGAATAATTTTCCCGAAAAAAAAAATTTAATCATCATTATTATCATCATCGTCATTGTTATCATCATCATCATCATCATCATCATCACTACAAATATACTACTGTTTAAAAAAAAAAAACAAAAACAAGATGGAGTCGTGATTTTTTTTTGTTGTAAAAACAAAGAATAAAAAAATTTCTAGAGAAAAAAAAGAAAAAATCTAATAATAATAATAATAATTTTAATACTTTTACTTTTCGATTTTTTTCCTCCTCCTCCTTCTCCCCCCCTTCTCCTCAAGTTTATTAAAAACGTGATCGGCTTTATAAAGTATGAATTTAAAAAAAAATAATAATAATATTGAATTTGATTTTTTTTTTTTTTCGTTGTTGGAATAAAATTTAACAGTTTTCTTTTGTTTGTTTGTTTGTTTGTTTGTTTGTTCTTTCGTTCGTTCGTTCGTTTAATTTAATTTTTTTTTTGTTTTGTTTTGTTATGTTTAACAGTACCGACGGCATCGATTTTGGGTGGTCCCGATCTTCACGTCGACAGGGGAAGCACAATTAATTTAACATGCACAATTAAATATTCACCGAAACCTCCTGCTTTTATATTTTGGTATCATCACGACGAAGTGATAAGCTACGATTCCAGTAGAGGAGGGGTTAGTGTTATCACGGAAAAGGGTGAAATAACGACAAGTTATTTGTTAATACAAAATGCCGAGTTGTCTGATTCTGGAAAATATTCCTGCAGTCCTTCCAATGCTGATGTTGCGAGCGTTCGCGTGCACGTACTCAACGGTTTGTATACATAACCTTTTAATTAAAACATTCTTTTTTTTTTTTTAATTAAATTCAAAAACTTTTTTTTTATCATTTTGCGGATTTTTATTTAAATAATTACCCCCCTCCCCCTTCCCTTCACCACTTCCTCCTCCATTTTCCACAAATCATTTCAAACTATATAATAAAGACGTTAAACGATGATAACGATTAAAAAAATTCAACCGGTTTTAAAAGTGATTTTTCCGGCCCTTATTATTATTATTATCACTTTAAATTTTTAACCCTTTCCTAATGATAATAATAATAATAATAATATTATTTATTTACTACTTAATCACGCGATGTATAAAAATAACTTTGATGAATCGCATCGAGCCTTTAAAAATTTATTTATATATATAAAATATTTCGTTTATTTTTAGTTTTATTAAACAAACAGCAACAACCGTGACAATAACGACAAACAACCGTGTTTTTTTTTCTTATTTAACCCCCGTAATAATAATTTTATGTAAAAAAAAAAATAGTAGCCTTCAGAATTTAGAATTTTTATAAAAAAAATGTGTGTAAAGTTTGTTATTTGTAGTATCAAGAGGTATAGTAGTAGTAGGTATTGCGGTTCGTTCATTTTAAGATCTCATTAGTGTGTATAAATATTTATAAGGTTGAGGAGAAAAGTTGAGACTAATGTGAATATAAAATACAACCAAACCTAAACTTTCAAAATTTTACTTTGAATTTAAGTTTTAAACTTTTAAATTAAAAAACACAAACACACACAGACACACACACACACACACACATAAACATGATATTTTTGTTTTGTTTCGTTTGATTTTAAAATTACAGAGAAAGAGAGAGAGAGAGAAAAGGTTTGCACCTGAAAAGAAAAAGAAATTTTTTAAAAATTCTCTTCTTCCCCTTTCCTTCCCTCCAATATTTCGTCATAACAATTATTAATTAAAAAAAAAAACTTTTTATTTATTTTTATTTTATTTTTTATATTCTACTTTCTTTTGTTGTTGTTTTGTTTTTTAATGCCACGTGCGTTAAAACCACGTAATAAAAAAAAGAAAGGAAATTCATATTAAAATTATATATATTATATTTTTTTTTTTTGAAAAAAAAAAACGTTTTTATGTATCCGAACGTGCGTGAGAGAGACTATAAAAAAAAAAAAAATAGAAAATAAATAAATAAATTTATTTATTATTATTGTTATTATTTTTTCAGTTTTCAAGAGCGTCGTTTACGTTTTTTTCTATTTTTTTTATATACATATAACGACCATTTATAGTAAAAATGAATAAGAGAGAGAAAGAGAGAGAGAGAGGAGATTGTGTTCAAATTTAAAGAAAAAATTATTACTAAAGTGACGTATAATTTAAGACGTTTGACCGTTAGGAAAAAAAATTTTTTTTTTAATTTAAAACAACAACAACAAACAACAGTTTTGTGTTTGTCGTAATTTTTTAAAATTTTGTGTTTGTTACAGGCGAAAGACCGGCAGCTATGCAAACGGGTTCTGCAGGGTTATCAAATAGTTCATTTAATATCTTAGTTTTATTATTTGTTGTTTTTTTTTATTCTCCGATGGATAACGTTACCTACTCTTCAACAATCGTTTACAGATAATGAGAATATTTTTGCGACGAAAACAAATCATCATTATTATTATTATTACTATTATTATTATTATTATTATTATTATTATTTCTTTATTTTTTTTAAACGTTTTCTGAACGCACTCATTGTTGACAAAAAAAAACAAATGTATATATATATATTTATAAAAAGTAGACGATAATATTTATATAAATAATAATAATAATACGAACGATATATATATATATATATATATATATATATATATATATATTGTAATAATAATAATAATAAATAACAATGATAAATAATAATAATAATGATAAATTTGTTTTTTATAAATATATATAAATAAAAATTGTAAAATGAATGATATAGATTTAAATAAAAATTAAATAATGATAATGATAATTTTCCGTTATTTTTAAATTAATAAATAAATTATGTATATGTATATGTATATAAGAAAAGTAATAAAAATTACCCGAGTAATAAAAAGTGTTAAAAAATATGGTGAAGCAAACCTGTGATAAGGTCGAGAGTTCGGTTTTGTAATTAATTAAAAAAAAAAAACGATTCGTATTAAATAAATAATTTATTAATAATAGATCTTATTAAATATATATATATATACATAATGATAATAATTTGTAAGATAATGCGCAAAATAATAATAATAATAACGATAACAAAAAAAAAAGTCGACTGCTGTTGTTAAAAAAAAAAAAATAAAGAAAAAGTTTTTTGTTATTAATAATTATCAGTTGCTTTTTCGTCGGTCAAAAAAATAAATAAATAAACAAATAAATAAATAATAATAACAAAACGGAAATGGAAGGAATTTATAAAAAAGTAATTTTTTGAATAACCCTCGTTTTAATAAAATGACGTGTTTAGGCGAGCGAGAGCGTCGATGAAAAAAATTTTTTTTTCGTATCGTTTGTTATTTGGAAAGTGTTTGATTGGATCACAATAATTTTTTTTTTTACTTAGGTTTTCGTTTATTTGTTATAAATCAAGAGTACCTGAATTGTTTGTATTGTTTGTAAATATAATTTTCGATAAGAAGATAAAATTGGAAAAATTGTTATTAATAAATAAATAATTAATTAACTAATCGGTTTTTTAAAAAAAATTAATAACAACAATTTTAATAAGTATTATTATGTATGATTGTAATCGAAAAACAAATTTTTTTTTAATAAATAATAATGATAATGATTGAAAAAATTGTGACAAAATAAACTTCACAGGTTTCTTTCATGTTTTAATAAATTTTTATTTTTTTTAAATTAATTTTTCAAATCAATAATTTTAACATTTGTAATTTTATGAATAAATAATTGTAGCCATTTTGTTTTTTTTTCAGTCGATTCGATTACAATCGGTTATCACGTGATAAAAAATTTGTAGTTACCAAAAAAAAAAAATTTCGGAAAACGATATCGATTTTAATTTTTTGTTTATTTCCTTACGAAAAAAAAACAAATCGATCGATTTATTCCATTCGTAGTAAAATAATAATGATAATGATAATGATAATATTTCTGAATTATTTTTTCTATTGATTACATAAATAACAAAAAAAAAAATTTTTACATGCGTTAACGTCGACGTTACACTTAAGATGAAGCAACTGAAAGACAAAAAAAAATTTTAAACATCAAAAATTATTAATAAATTATTAAAAAAAAATAAATAACTTATTGAAAAATAACTAACGATAATACTAATAATAATAATAATAATAATAAAAGTTCATCTTTTATTATTAACAAAATATTTTTAAAAAAT